CTTCTGCACCCTAAAATATAAAAATCTTAGCTCTTAATATCTACAAGAGCTTGCAGGTTATCATGATTTCGGTATTGCATTGAAAAGGAACTACGCAATTTTTAATAAATTGATTAGAGATTATTTCTATATTACGTAACTGCATGATTGCTTATTTATAATGTTGTTAATATGAGAACCATATCAATTACTAGGTAAGCAATTCAAATGAAGATAGTGTTACTTTTAATGGATTTGCAATCCTACATTTGTGCCTGAAGAAAATACAAATTATACATAATAAAGGAGTGCCAGAACTTAGAAAGGGGTGTTTTACATTCACATAATTTATTTTGAAAAGGAACCAAAATATTTAATATAAATGTATCAACCAAGGAAGACACGGAGGTTTTTCTTTAACTAGCTTTATCTGACAATTATAATGGACAACATATAAATTCTAATTTCTTTCTTCTTGACCTTTGGAAGCACTGGAGCAGCAACTTTTTCTGGAAAGGTGAAACAAGAATAATTTAATTTAAGCTTGAACTAGCATAGTACGCAAAGCAAGTCAAGTTGGTTAGGCAAGCTGGTAAGGGATGGTTGTACAGGGAACGATAAAATTAGTACTTACACAACAATTTTTTACGCAATCACACAGAATCTGCTTCATACTTTGCCGAACTTCCTTAAATGTACATGTGGACGTCTTCACAAGGTTCAAGTTTTGTGTGAAAAATTGCATAGTAAGGAAAGAGTTTTATAACGTGATGAAGATGTTTATTAGATATAAGTGTACAAATGTGAATTACTATTAAATGTTAATATCTTTTATTGATCAAAGCTTCTACAACAATCCAAATATCATTTAAGCCGGGAACGACCGAACAGAACGCAAAAATCCACCAAAACCATCCACATTGCCAGCTGTCGAAAACTAAATGTGTTAAAAGTACGGTCGCACTTGTATGGCAACCGATAGCTGTTTGTTGTTAAGGAATGAGACGAATAGGTAAAGTTAGTACAGGACACATCCTCCTATCTAAAATATAAATCGGAGCTGTTTATTGCATTTACTCAAATAATTAATCTTCAATCAGCTCAAATTTAAAATTTTAGCTATAAAAGGATACATAGCAGTGATGAATTGTAACTGAACATGGTAAAGCCAAGGATAAAGGCCAGCATTTCAAAGGCGATTATACCAGCTGCAACACCCAAACCAATTACAAACCTGCAAAAGGAAAACACAGTTTGTTAGCAAAGGGAGTATACTGAATATCTAAATATTATTATTATTAGTATTTTAAGTCAGGGGATTAGTCCGATTAGTGTGTTTATGACTCAGTTTAGATAAATTCAAAGCTTACTCTTAAATAAGTTCGTAAATAAGTAAGAGTGACATTAAAGTGATATTTTAACAGCAAGGGTAGAAAACACAAAAACAAAGGAATGGCCAATATAGGTAATGACATATGACATCAGTCACATTAAACTGCGATATTACACATTTTTGACTTCATTGATAGGTCATAATAGACCATGTTAATTTTTAAAAAGTCTATAAATTGGCGCCTATCTTTTTCGGTTTTGCCTGCGTTTCGAATCAAAGCGAGATCCTGATTTCCGTAAGAAGACTTCACTCTTGCAAGTGTACTGTGTACAGGACTGAGACCAAACTTGCCGTCTCTTTCTTACGTCGCCTCTATATTTTGCATCGTGATGCCAGACGAGTGCAATGTGCGCGATTCGGTGTTAGTTGCAGGTTATGAAACAACAGACAATTTTGTGAATACGAACACAAATGCGCAATTCTAAGGTCACCTTGTGACCTTGATTTTGATTGCATCCTAGGTGGCGGTTCGCACCGCGAGTCACGACTGCGCCCGGACACCACTGAACTCTCTTGTGAACTCCGGAAACGGAGACAAGAGACAGAGACAGGAGACCACCGCCAACCACGATCGATACTAGAGTCTATTAGTGGATACGTCATAATCGACCGCGAAATTCGACTTGCAGGATTTGGCTGTTTTACTGTCGATGATATTGACCCCTATCGCCCTTTGCAGTAAGTATCGCTTTTAGATTTAGATAGGTCCTCTGTATGGGTTTATACTGACCTTATGCAAATTAAATAAGCACATCGACCCGCTTATATCGAAACACTGATTACTTAACTTTGAAATAGAACAATAAGCATTAATTGCCAATTGGTCTTAT